TTGACATCCGATTTAAACATAAGTATTAACAAGTATTTGACTGTCAAATTTTTGTTTGATTGTGCCGAGCACTAGTTTGGGGTGTATAACATCGGTTTAATTACAATCTTAGTGTAGATGATAGTAATGATCACTAATCAAGTTTTTTTTTTTTATAGTAACCAGAAATTTTATAAAGCAAACTATACTTCAACATCAAGTTTATTTATCTTATTTACACCTAAAAAAAATTACTTTTAAATTAAAAAGAAAATATGTAAAAATAAATTTGAATATTTTTAAATATAATTAAAATGTTATGTTATATAAAGTTTAAAGCTAAAATTTTATTTATTTCTAAATTAAATCAAATTGAAGTATTGTTTATAAATGCATATAAAATTCTGAATATGTTTGTTCATTTGACTAAAAAGTATATATATATTTTGAAAAAGTAATCTGCACTTAATATATAACAATAAATTAACTATTCAAATTATAATTTATTATTCGACTACAACTGTTTTAATATTATCAGTTGCATCTTCCTTAATATTCTTATTATTAATTACTATTTTATTTTGTTGCATTAATTTTTCTTTTCGTTTCTCTAACCAAGCTAAGAATAATCCCTTTTTATATTGATATTGATAAACGATCCATAAGCTTAAAATCCTATAAACTCTTTTACATAGAACTGCTAAGATAATGAACAAATAAATCAGGTAAGTTATAAACTACACAAATATCAATAACCATGATAATATAATACGAAGTTTATGGAATCCGAAACTTCGATATGGTCACATGAAATTATTTGATGATCAGAACCAATAATTTGATATTTTAAGTATGGAAATACAGTTGGTATATTAATGCAAATAAAAAATGAGTCAGTAATTAGTTTGTTTGATGAATAATGAGAGACAGATTACGTATAAACAAACCACAAATATCCACAGAAAAAATGAACAAGGATATATAGCTAACAAATAGACCACTATAAGATATTCAATACACTAATTAGTATTGGAACTTGAAAAAAATATAAGTAAAATGAGTTTATACGAATCGTAGCCATATTTTCCATTTAGGTCTGTTTTATTTCCATGAGCGTTTTCCTCATTTAATATATTTTCTGCTTTAATATCTGCATAATATAGAAATAAATTTAATTTTTAGGATAAATCGATTAAACATTCCCATAATCATCATGAGGATAGTGAATTTAAATATATAGCAGTATATATTAAATTTAAAATAATTCAAAAGACCAATCGTAACAATTTACAGACAAATTTGCCTGACGATTTAAAGGGATAATAAAAAGATATGTAATATACCATAGACATTATAAAGTATGAAAATCACAAGTAGAAATGTAGAGTTAATAGCTTGCATTCGTGTAATAATTTTTCGTGGTACAGTTTGAACAAATTCATCGTAAAAAGATATTCCTCTTGGTTGACGTGGGATCATTTTTAACATTTTCAACGAAAAAAATATTTAATCAAAAAATACGTGGTCAGGATCTTATCGAAAAATCATTGATATTGTTACCCTGTACATACGTACGTATGTAATGCGCCCATTCTTTATTTCCATTAATACAGCACCCATTATGTAATAACGCTCATTATTTAATTTTCATTAATGCTTACTGCAATTCTTGAATGTCTAATGCTAACAATAGTAAAACTATAAATTTTATTAGAAAGAAAACACCATTTTTTAACGTTATTCTACTCGAATC